TTTTTTTTTTTTTTTAAATTTCACCATTCAATTTTGTCCAATGCCATATCCATCGTTAAATTATGGGTGCTTAAATAATTTCTTATTACTTTCACCCAAATCCTTTTTTGCCTACCTCTTAGCTCATCTAACCCCTTTAACTTGTAGTAGATCACTTTTCCTAACATGTGTTTGTAGATGGTCTTATATTTACGTGATCAAACCATCTCAATACTTTCTCATTTTATCACCTATTGGAGTCACTCCTCTTTTTTTTTTTTGTATAACTTCATCTTTAACCCTTTCCTTTCTAGTTTTACCACTCATCCATCTAAACATTTACATTTCTACCACTTATGTTTTTGGACATGTTTCTTAACCATCCAACACTCTGCTCCATACAACATAGTCGGCCTTATAATTATTTTATAAAATTTTCCTTTTATTTGACATGGTATTTGTCTGTCACATATGACTCTGGATGCATCTCTTCATTTTTCCCATTATATTCTAATTTTATGGGCAACATCCTCCTAAATTTCTCTTTGATTATGGATTATTGAACCAATGGATGAGATCACATTGATTTTATCTCTTGGTCTTCAATTCTAAATGTACCCTGATTTGCACTATGATGGTGATTATTATTATTATTATTATTTTATTATTATTATTAGTATTAGTATTATTATTAAATTTACATTCTCTAGTGTTATCCATTTTTTTTATTGTATCCATACATATTAACAATATATCCTGATATATCTCTTAAAATTGTCTTTTTGGCACTCTACATTTTCAATACTTTGAACATTGGTTGTGTCCCTTGCATCAACATTTGGAAATCATGGCATATGAATATATTTGTAAGTACATTACATACTCGTATAAAATAATTTCAAAATCTCAATAGATGTGTTCTTTCTCATTTCACTTTTTCCAAAGAGTGTCAATGACATTCTTCTTTAAGCCCTTAGGCTAATTTCATTAGTTAATAGAAGAAACACAATCCTCCTTTGAAAACCCAGTGGTTAGATGAAGTGACTAACCTTGGAATGCAAACATGCTTGTTGATTATATTTTTTGGTCAAAGTTTCATGCCAAACACCAACCGTTGACATAATTCCAAGTGATCAAATGCTGAGTTACCTTTTACATAATTTCTGAATTTCATGTTGGATTTGAGGTTATTTCTTAATTTTCCAATTCATGAATGAGGGATTATGTATCAAATGTTTTTTTTTTCTTTTTTTTCCTTTTGTACCTATATCATCAGAGGCTCTTTTTGCAGTTCTTTCTTCTACTAGTAAATATGTACGTGCATTTGCACGTGACAATATCTCTAAGATAAAACTATTTGTTATTCGTGGGCAATTTCTGAACAGTTACAAGTGGGTAGTTTCTGAGCAGTTATAAGTGGGCAATTTCTAAAGTGAGAGTATAGGGCATATATACCCTCTTTATGCCCACTATATTCTTAGACAAGGGAATAGAAAACGTCCAATGAAAATTGCAGAAAAAAGGGGCATTCACTCTTTTATAGGTAGTATAGACTATTTTCCTTTAGAGCCATTGGATATGTCTTCTATGGAATGCCTCAAGAACTATTTACTTTTAGAAGTTATTAAGGATTTCAAAATCCATGGGTTCAGGAACATGTGTAATGACCCATAACTTTGCTTTGATGCAAAGAGGACCACATAATAATACCATCCAACTCAGCTACAATGAAATCATGCTCACTGATTTTCTTTTTCAAATGTCTGCAATTTTTTCATACACAAGGTTTTAAAAGGCTAAAGGTGGAAGTGAGGTAGTTGGGTGTTTGAGAGTTAAGGCATAATCCTCAAAATATATGTTATATATTGTATATATGAATATGGAACATCATACTGGTACTAAAAGAATAATATTTTTATTTAGTTTTACTGCTATTTTTCATAGTTTTATCTTATTTTTTTTTAATTTAAAGAAAAATCTCCATTATCATTTTTTTTGTTTGTACATTGGTGGATCCACTGCCATGTGTTATGGGTGAATATATAAATGGAGACAATATTCTCACATATGGTACATTAGGATATAAAGTGACACATACAATTATTATATTTAGTAAGAGAAAAGCAAATGGATATTTTTGGGTAAAAAAAGATATTACGAGAGTTTTTTAATTATATTGTCTTTTTAATTTATTTTTAAAAATGCTGAAGTAAAACTTTATCGAGAAAAATGTATACAAGAATGTGGAAATATGTTTTTATTATAATCCACCAAATATAGTTTTATTGAACAATATAGATGATTAAATCAATATTTTTATTTTTTCTCTTTTCAGAATTTTAGTGATGATTAAATGAGGCGCATACCTCATCAAATTGAGACATGAGGCAGTAAAGCATATGCCTCACCAAGTATGAGCCTCTTTATCTATATCTATACTACTATTAAAAGTGTGAAACTTTTGTTTAACTAAAATACCCCAATTTTTGAATTTGGTTATTCTATAATTGTAAGGACAAAACTGTAATTTGAACAACTACTTTTCCCCTCATCAAATCCCTTTCACTAAGTCTTATATTTAAGGTATAACTTTCACTAACATTCATTGTTCCTATTTTGACTAGAATATCCCTATTTTTGAATTTGATCCCTCTATAATTGTGAGGGCAAAAAATGTAATTTGGAGTGTTACATTTCTTCTCATTTAATGCCTTCTCATATTATGGCATTAACTTTCATTCTTTCATTGAATTCTATATTAAGTAACCATATTAAAGAAAAATAAGTGTGAAAGAATAATTGCTTTTATGTTTTATCAATGATAGAAATTATATATAAATTCAAAACCAACACAAAAATAGAGTTGTTTTCCTATTTTGTGGCGAGTTAACAATTCAACCTTTTTGGACAAATGCGTAAACCCTTGATAGGCTTGTCAATGATATCTGAAACTCTATAGCCCAATCTGACCTCCGATCTGATAAAATCCAAATCCAATTATATTATAATATTTATTTTTTGAATATATAAAATCTATATAATTATATTTGAAATTATAAAAACATATTTTTATATTATATTATATATAAATTTATCTATATATATAATAAACTCAATATTTTATGTTTACATTAATTTATTATATATAAAAAAGTTGAAAAGTAACTTTTATTTTTTGTATTTTAAAAAATTAAAACAGATTTGGATTAAATCTGAATCCAATCCGAGTCCGTTTTGAATCTAAGGTCTTCAGATCCGATTGGATTTGGATTTTTATTAATCCAATCCATTTATAGCCCTAACCCTTGATGTCATAATAATAGTAGTAGTAGTAATAAAAATTGTCATGTACAAAGCACATACACACTAATTCATTCAAAATGCATCAAGAAAAGGTGTTTTGTCTTTGCCTCAAATGCCTCAGTGCCTTTTAAAACCATGCTATAATATATTTACTGTATTTAAACCATGAGAACAGTTTGAACAATTCACTGGTTTAATCAACCAAGTGAACAGTAGTGGTTTGCAATATCGATGATATTTGGCAAAATATCCCCGGAATATCTCTATTTGCTTGGTGGCGATAC